GTTCTATAATTATGTAAGATTTAACCACTGGGGGAAACTGGGTTAAGGGTACATAGGATCTCTCTGTACTATCTTTGCAACGTCTCTGAATCTGTAATTATTTCTAAATAAAAAGGTTTTTTTAAAAAGGGTTATTACTCTGGCTGTTGTTTTGAGAATAGACTGTAGAGGGCCAAGGGCAGAATCAGGAATACTAGTTAGGAGTAATATTAGGAGGCTGTTACAATAATCCAGGAGGAAGACAATAGCTGTTGGAGGGGGTTGGTGGCATCAGAGTGGGGTGGGGATAGGGGTGAGGAATAGTTGAATTCTGGGTATATTTTGATAGTAGGGTTAATAAAATTTGCTGATGGATGTGGGTGTGGGAGAAAGAGAATGAAAGATGACACCAAGGTTTTTGGGCTGAACAACAGGGAGAATGAAGAAAAGAGAGAGTAACAAGAAGCAGCAACAAGTAAAGAAGTCTGGTATGAGATGGTTGGATTCTTGGCAAGGAAAACAAAATAACAAACTCTCTTCTTCTAGTCACTGCAGCTTGGGGCCTACGGAGAGTTAGGACAGGATGACATTAAAGTGAGTGCACTCCTGTTAACCTGTTCCCAGGCAGCTAAGTTATCTTGGCCTCACCCTTGCTCTTTTGGAAAGAAGCACTTGTTTGATAAACAGGAAGTTGTTTCCATGGGTGTAGAAAAAAGAAATGATAGAACTGAGTGGCAAAGCAAATAACTTTTAGCTGTGGTGAGCTTGGAATTGGCAGAAATTTTTTCAGATAGCCACGTAAGTGTGGCACACGTGCTGTCTTTTCCTCATTCTAGACTGGGTTATTTTTTCATCATGAAAAATGAAAAGTTTCTGCCCTGTTGCTTGACCTGCTGTCAGGGTGTGTTCATTTTCAGCTAGTGTTTTGGATCAGTTTTGAGTTGTAGACTTAGCAGACAAATGGAGACACTGTCTGTTTGTAGTGGAAAAGTGACTTATTTTAAGAAATATTGGCTCCCACCACTATCCCATTAGTGGCGTGCCTCTGACCCTCCAGTGAAGCTGGTCTAGGGAAGTGAAGATGGCTGATGTATATTTTTGCTCTTTGAAAGGTTAGAATCTAAATGTACCACAAGATATTTCATTCTGAGTCAGAATGGGACAAAATTACAAGCAGTGAATTCTGAAGTAAACTTTATACATACTTTTGAAACTTCAGAATTCATTCTCTCCACTTCTAATCATACTAATCCTCCTGAGGTGTATAAATCCCTTAGTGTCACTAACTTCTTTTTATTTTCTGAGGAAGAAAAGATTAAAAAGATTAAAGAAATCTAGTGCCAAGTGATTTGTGGTGATTGAAAAGTGAGAGAGAACTTAGACTCTTTACTTGTGATAAGAGCCTGAAACAGGAGAACCGTTTTCTTCTTTTAACTGAGTCACCTCATCTTTGTCTAGAGTGAAATGATTGGAGTGAAGTTGTGATAGAGAAAAACTTTAAATTTACCCGAGATGAATAGTGGCAACTAAATAGATAAGTAGTTAATTGATGGTGAAAAAGGACTTACTGTGATGGAGTTTTTGCAGCAGGTGTCTAATCGAAGATTGTTAGCCTCCCGGGGGGTGGAGGAAGAAGGAATCTAGGAATTCAGGAAGCTAGGGTCCTGGCTGCCCTGTGGGATGTTTGAGACTGAAGATATGGGGAGATCCAGGTGATATCTCCCAGTATTTAGGAGAACTAGCTTACTAAACTGTGTGGGAGAAGCAGAACAACTCTGTAGAGTTCTTTGCACCTGGGGTTTATCCTAACAAGATTCAGAATATAGTTTACTTTGAATGTTGAATGGTTCAGGGGCCGTTTGCTTTCATTTGCCTTCTGAAATGACCCCAGTATTTATTCAAATGCTGTGACTTTGTGTTAAGTCCAGGCTGGGCTACTGCTCTGGGTTTTTTGCTGAAAGTTAAATATCCCATTTGAGCCTGAAGAATTTTCACTGCCTGCCTATGCAGCACACATGAACATAAAGCAGCCATTTGTCCCTGGGCAGCTGATAGGCAATTTCAGCAGGGACGAAAACTACCACAGGCTGCTGGCTTTCTGTCACACCCACTAGACCCTGTAGGTTTACACTGAAAGCAAACTAACAGGGGATGGGGTGGGGGTTGGGGGGTAATGAGATGGACAAGAAATAAAAGCAGAGGCTAAAGTCTAAATGACACGGAGCCTTTAAGATGGTCCTGTGTGTGGAGAAGAGCACAGTGCTCCCAAAGAGGGGAAAATTAGAATGTCAAACACAATGGCTAGGAGAAAACATCTGATTTTTGCAGCCAACACTTTAAAAAAAAATTTGTAAATCTTCTTTATATCCATAACTGTAGGGATATTTTAGGTATCCTTAGGGAAAATACTAAACAATTGAAGCTCTTTTAGCCAGCGTGCTGTCACAGATACCTTTTAGCCAAAAGCATGTTAACTGTGGCAGATGACATATATTGTAGTCACCTCAAATACTATAGAATCCTTGTGATCTGTTAACCAAATGCTTAAATATTCTTTGTATGGTATTGAGTGGACCTTGAAAAAAATAGCCTTTTAAATGTCTTTAAACTTAAAGTTATGTCATATATGATCAGAGTACACATTTATTCCTAAATATGCTATCCCTTCTTTGGCCCTAGCATGTAACAGAGTTTATTTCTATTTAGCAGATCAAGAGGTGGGGATATTGGCAGTGTAAACAATCCAAGGACAACCAATGCGTCATTGTAGAGATAAAACAGACCAAGGCCATATTCCAGCAGCTCCTGGCCTGTGTAACAATTTTGAGAACTTTCCAATCATTTCAGGAAAACAAAGTACTTAGAAAATATAGTTTTTTTTTTTAATAAAAGAAAACCACTTATTTTGGAAATCATGAAATTAATCGTTCTGTTGTACTTAAGAAGCTCTTTGATGTGTTCTGATAATTAGTATTTACTGCCAGACGAATGTCTCTTGGGCATTTTAATTAATGGTGGCTTAGCCAAATGAGCTTCTGTTGGTAAACCTTCATAAGGGTTTATTTTTATGTTTCTCAAGAATAGCTGTCTCTTTAAAGCTCTTTAATTAGACAAAGTTTAGCAGCTAAAACATATTATTAGAATAATTGGGCCTTGGGTTAAGAGAAATAGGGGGTCAAAGGAGCAGGTACTGTTAGAGAATGGCCTCTTAAAATAAAACCTAGCGTTCTACATCTGATGGATGTCCAGTTCTTGAACAGCTTGTGTTAAGTTCCTATCCCTAGTTAGGGACTTTGTGTTGTTTAAAGTTCCTGTGACAGATCTCACCAGAAGGCTGAGCACACCAGAGCATGAGCTCGTTTATCACCACCTCTAAACTCTGTAGAAAGCTGTGTTCTATATTCTAGTCCTTTTAACTTCTAAGCTAAAGACTTCTTTTCTCCTTTTTTTGTACTAAATTGATCATCTTGGCCATAATAGTGATTGTTTTTGAGGAAAATGCTTCAAAGGTCTTGTGTGTGGTTCATTGATAAACCTGACAATTGTAACAGTTCCTTTGAGGGGTCTTTCTTAATCATTTAAATGATCTACTTGTAAGACATTGCTCTTAAAAATTCTGTAGTATTTGATCTCCAAAATGTTATGTTCTTTGAGGTCAGACTGTTGTTTGAATTATTTGAAAATCTTCTATGTAAACGGTTGTCGTTGAGCTCCCCTTCTTCACGTACTCCCCCACCCCCTCCATTTCTTGTCCTAAGCTCTCAATCTTGGCAGTCATTACTAGCGCGTATGTTTTATCCCAAACTTCCTCTTTGTGACAGAAGAAAAGATAAACCTGACTGGTCTTGTGAGTGATTGAGATGGCGCCAAATCACTTGGGTGGTATTACTGAAACTAGTACTGAGAAACAAACGAAACATTTATTTATATTATCTAATTTTTCACTTTCGCACTATCTCAGGATGCTTATGATGGCAAATGTGTCCTTTACCCAGCTAGAACAGTTGGTTAAAGGATAGTGCTAGTGAGACTATTAGAAATCAAACAGAGCAAACTACATCATTATTTGCATTTCTAATCCCATCAGTTGTCATAACCTGTATATGTTACTGGTCAGATGAGGCACTGGGTTAAGGATATGTGTATCGTTGGTTCATTATAAACCTAATGCCACTATTAGAAAAAAAAAGTACTTAAAGAACTTACAGTATTGATTATGGGTTAATCAATTCATTTTTAAATATAGAAGATAGCCTAGTTTATAGTATTACAGAGTTTATCACCTGTAAATTCTTTTGCTATACCTTAGTTAGCAACATAGCAAATGAAATTATTTCATTTAAAGTGGTAGAAACTTCACTTGGTTTTCTATTGATGTTACCTGTGAAAATTAATAACATAGTTTTAAAAATATTTGGTAAGCACATTAAATGCAAATGTAAAGATGCAGGTGTTATGCATTGCAGAGAATGGTCACCAAATAAGTACCTTTTTGTGTGAAATTGTGAAACTTTGAGAAAGCATAAGAGATATTGGCCTAAACAGAGTCCTATGTAAAGCAGCGTTTTTTTTCCCTCTTAGCAATGACTGATTTCTGTCAACTCTTTCCTAAAATGATCAATTATTGTGACTCCGCGTTTTGACTCATCCTTTAGCACAGGAAATGCTGCTGATACTTATCTTCATGTGTGTTTGCTTTGTATATATAAACTTTTGCAATGGAAATATGAAAAGGAAGGTTGAAAAACACCATTGTATCCCTCAGAACTCTTTTTTTCTTATGGTAGGGCAAGTGTATTCTTATGCATACTTATGTATAACAGGATTTATACTTAAAATAGTTTGGGTACTGATTACTAATGAATAGATACAAGCCAGGACTATAAGCGTATCATTTTCCATATGTTTGTTTCACTTTTTTAACTCTTTCATTTGTTGGGCCCCTTGCATCCCTCCTTAAGTCTACCTTTTGAAATGATTCCAGGATCCAAATGAGAACTGACTGTTTTTCTTCAACGCAGACCACCTGGTGGCCCATGGTAGAATGGCAGAGAAGGAGGCCCGTCGGAAGTTCAAACAGATCGTCGCAGCCGTCTATTTTTGTCACTGTCGGAACATTGTTCATCGTGATCTAAAAGCTGAAAATTTGCTTCTGGATGCCAATCTGAATATCAAAATAGCAGGTGAGAAGAGTATTGAGGATGTGAAATAGAAATAAAGGAGCTTTTCCTTCAGGGTTCTTAAAGCAAGGGATTGTTTATTTCCAACTATTCAGAAGAAAGTATTGTGAAAATAAAGGATTTTTGTGTGTGTGGCTTGAAAGTTGATAAACTTTCAGAATATGTTTATATTATTTTTCATGTAGTATCAGATCAAACTAGGCTGGGAAGAAAGAAGGAAAAGGGTGATATTTAAAATTCTGTTATTTTGGTTGACAGGTCCCTTTTAAATAATGAGGAATAAAATATAGAATAAAGTAGTAAGTAAAACTGCTAAAATTGTATAACCTGTCAGCTTCGTTTGAGAAGATTGATTTATGTCGTTGCTGATATAGAGCATGCTTATTCTAAAGACTGTAGTTTTATGATAATTTAGGAAGACTAGATCTTACAGTGCTTTGAAGGCAGTCCATGTCTGTCTCCTCCAATGTCACTCATCTGCTCATCTGACAGTACCCAAAAAGCACTTTTCACTGCCTCAGTCTACTCGTACTTCAGTTTTAGTGAACTATCAGCGTTTGCCTAACCAACACAAGCTCACCACCTATTGATAGAAGAAAGTGACTGCAATCTATATAGAATCTATAAATATGAAAATAAACCGTTTTTGTTTTCTGACAGTTTTCGGTATTGCATTGTGTGTCCCCCAGCTCCCAGATGAAAAGGGAGAGAGTCTCATATAGAAAGCTGAAGTATAGCTAGAGTAGAATTGCCTTGAAAATCCAAAGTAAAAGCAGTTATACAGATTTCCCTCCTTAGTAGGGTGGGAGTTGAGAGTTCAGATTTATATTATAGATCACAGTACCTACGTGTACCCTTGCAGGTTGGTGATGATTCTGACAGTTTCTTTGTGTAGATAAGTCTGTTCACTTTCCAGCCTCTACTTTTACATCCTTGGCATGTCACCTAGCTTTTTATTTGTCTAAGTTAGGGTGATGGATGCACTCCTGTTTAGAACTTTCACACAGTTGTAAGCTCTTTGAGTCCTGCACTCACTGAGTACATAGTAGACAGGAATTAGATGCTTTTTTCCTTTCTTTTATTTTTTTTTTTTAAAAGATTAGCACCTGAGCTGACACCGGTTGCCAATCTTCCTTTTTTTCTTCCTTCTCCTCCTCCACCTCCTCCCCCTCCTCCTCTCCCCTCCTCCCCACCAAAAGCCCTCCAGTACATAGTTGTAGATTCTAGTTGTAGGTCCTTCTGGTTGTGCTATGTGGAATGCTGCCTCAGCATGGCCTGATGAGCAGTGCCATATTGGCGCCCAGGATCCAAACCGGTGAAACCCTGGGCCTGCCGATGCATATCACACAAACTTAACCACTTGGCCACGGGGCCGGCCTAGATGCTTTCATTATCTTACATAAAATCATGTTTTTCCTATGCCCTTATGTGTGTTTTATATTCTCCTAAGCTCTCTAGATGCTGGCAGTTCCTACACAGGTGGGTAGCGTGGAAAGGCCTAGCAATTTCAAACCCTCTTTTATAATTATTTGTTGTAGCTTCAATTAAGTTAATGGTAATAACACCTACTAAGCTTCATAATCCTTAAAAGTATAAAAAAAAGTGTTAATTTCTTGTTGTTACTGTAACAGATTGCCACAAACTTAGTGGCTTGAAACAACACAAATTTATTATCCTACAGTTCTGGAGTTTAGAAATCTGCAATGAATTTTATAGGGCTTAAACCAAGATATTGGTAGGACTCGTTCCTTCTGGAGGCTCTGGAAATCTGCCCTCTTCAGCTTCTGGAGCCCTCCTGCTTTCCTTGGCTCCAGCCCCTTCCTCACGTCACTCCACCTTCCTGCTGCCATTGCCACATCTCCCACTCCTGACACGATCCTCCTACTTCCTTCTTGCAAGGACCCTTGTGCTTACATTGGGCCTCCTGAGTAATCCAGGACAGTCTCCCTGTCTCAAGATCCTTAAACTAATCATGTCTGCAAGTGTCCCTTTTACCATGTAGGTAGCACATTCCAAGTTCCATGGATTAGGACATGGATGTCTTTGGGGGGCTATTCAGCTGACCACAATGTTACTGTAGGGTTCTTTGGATTATTGATTAGGCTAGTGAGTTAAAAGAAGGCCTTCTATTTCTATTATGGTTTTATTCTACCTCCACTGACCAAAAGTTAACCTTTCATTTAATGCTTCCTTGGTTCTTGATTTTGAATTTAGAACCATTTTGATTTAGTTAATGGACATTTTATATAGTTTTTGCCTCGAGAAACCAAGTCTAAAAGCAGGGGTCAGTGATAGTTGAAATTAGAAACTCTACTGACAAGTATTTGAGTAAGGAGATTTTTAAATACTTTTCTTTGTTAATAGTTAAAACAAATCCATGTCGTTACAATAAGAGTCTCTCCCTGCTGGTGTGTAATTACAGGCTCCTAGGGGTGCTGGCAGCCAGCCTTGGGCTCTCTGTGTGTTAACATAGATACTTTGGCAAGCTTTTTAAGTTCATTAACCCAAAGTTGCATTTTTATTACTTGTTTTCAGAGCAAAGCAAAGAATAAATGAACACCCCTAGTTTTGTGCCCTGCGATATGGATAGCTAACTAACATTGTCTTTGCTCGTGCATTCTTTCCTGCATGCCATCGTTACTTAGTTTCTCAATCATTGTCTGAACTTCATTTCTTACACATAAATTAGATAGAATTCCCATTCTCATCTGCCAAGTCTTCTTTGAACTTAATGAACTAGTGGGAGAAATGATTCTAGTGGAGGCTGACTACAGCATGACTAATTTTGGAGAGGCAGGTTGGATAGTTCTGACAGGATAAGGTCAGATAAGTAATGAAATCAACTTTTTATTCTAAAAGCTAAAAGTAACTTTCAGATCCCTGATCTTTTCAGTGGTCTTTCTGACAAATTATTATAAATCTCGCTAAGAAGGACCTACTATAAATGAAAGAAACACATGAGAGAGAACAGTTTTTTTGTTTTGTTTAAAATATTGTTAGTCTTAAGCACTTCATCTTTAAAATCATCATATATGTTATAGTTACAAATTAATAAAAATTCAGATTAGGAAATTTAAGAAATTCATGTTTTCCTTATGCTATGTTTACCTAAGTGGTGTTCATGAAAAGATTATGCATCCTGTTCAAATGTAGAAGATGAATAAATTGTTCTGGGGATGTTTGTTTTATATTAATTTATTTTTACTTTTTTGGCTATGAATTAACCTGGCATTTACATTTAATACTGATAGTATAAAAATCTAGCTATTATAAAAGCCCATGCTAGCCCTCTTCAAGAGAATATGTCTTCCCTGGACATGAGAGAGAAACTTCACTTACAGGCATTAAAAATTCCGCATCATTCCACGATTTAAGAGTTTTTGTGCTTAAATTCTTATCTGTGAATTTTTGTTCTAGTGCTACTTCTAGAGAGAGTGAAGCCCAGGTGAATAACTTTGTTTTCTTTCTGTTTTTAGAATAAAAAAATTCTTCGTAATGCCAATAGCAAACCTGTCGTCTGTAGAATTGTTTAAAAGATGTTTCTATCTTTAGTAATCCAGAATAAGTATTGGTGTTTTCAGAGGAAAGAATTTTGTTGCTGAAAGGCAAAGTTGCCAGGTCTAGAAGTAAGAATTTGTGGTGGTTATCTGCAGTCTCATTTGCTGTTAACAGAGGCTCTCTGCTCAGGTGTCATGCAAGAGGAAGAGCAGTGTAAGGCATGACTGCTGTCAAGAGTTTACAGTCTATTTGGGCAGCAAATGCTTAGACCTTTGAAAAGTTAAATAACACTGTAATTATGCTTTACATATATAAAAAATACTTTACAACGCATTTTCGCATGTATCATTTAATTTCATCATATTTTGCATGCAAATATAGCTTATTTAGAAGTTTATTATATTATATATATTATTATATTAGAGTTTCCAAAATGCACACCTTTAGCTTTCAAAACTTTGAATTTCTTGTAAAGAACACTCACGCCACTTTCTTTCATGTAGAGAATTCAGTGCTGGGAAAAGAATAGGGTTCTTGGCCTCTAACCTTCCACTTTTCGTACCTCAGAGGTGTGAGGATTCACAGAGGAGCAGATGAAGGACGGGGGAGGCACAGCATGGCTCTCTCAGCCTATAGCCTACATCCCTGGGTGACAGCGTATTCAACAGCTGCCAGATGATAGTCTGACGCAATAGAAGAGATGTTGCAAGGCACGTCATGATTCATTATCGCATTAACTGTAGTCTAATTACCACAGGAGTTCAGAGGATGAAGAAACCACTTTAGTTTGTAAAATTCCATTAGCTTGTAAATGCCACAGAGACTGTAACCATATCATGTTTATTGTTTCCCCTCCATGGCCTAGCACATCACTGTTCAATAGTAGGTACTCAATAGCTTTGTTGATCTGAACTCTAGACAGTGGTGATGAGGACATCAGTACCCTATTGCAGACAGGACAGTTGTGGTGAGTCTTAAAGGATAAGTATGATTCTTTAAGGCCTAGGTGTAGAGGAGAGAATTCCAGTAGGATTAGTCAGTCAGCAAATGTTGATAAAGTGCTTGCTATGTGCAGACACTGATCTAGGCACTGGGGATACAGCAGCAGATAAAATAGTTCCTTGGAGCTAACATTCTGATGGGGGGAGATAGATGGAAAACACGTAAACAAATAAGCTCTCATAAGGGCTGTGAAAATGATAAAATCGAGTAATATGCTAGAATGGCTGGAGATACTAAATAAGGGGGCGAGTGGAAGGAGACGGAGTGAGAGAGCTGGCAAGGGCAGGTTCACATGGGCTTTCTGCACATGGTGAGGATTTGGGATTTTATTTTGGTTACCATGGGAAACTGAGTTGGAGAAGCATGAGCAGCAGAGAATATACACAGCATATTTGCAAAAAAGGTAAAACAGCTTGGGTGGAGGGGAGGCTCACATAGGAGAGTCATGGCTGAGAAGGCAGAAAAGGTAGGTATTTATGCTGGATTGTGAAATTATTTGAATA